CCAGATATTTTTTCTAAAAAGAGCTAAAAATTTTTTTTCCACACATGTTAACTAAAACATAAGCCGAAAAAACCGTCGCGGAGAACCTAACAGGTTACCGGGGCTCTGGCTCGACGTGCAGGAGAAGGAACGGGGTGATTTTTAGTCAGTAAGAGTCTGACACTCCCTCCCGCTTCACCCAGGCGGGAGAAGTCATTCGATGATTTTCCCCCCCTTAAAAAAAACCGAAAAAACTACTTTCGTCCGCATAAGAGCTCTATTACAGTTAAAACATTTAACACAAATAAATATTCTATAACAAAATTGTCCCGAGAAGTCGTTTAATGATCTCGTTTTGGCTGTCGACAGGCAATGAGCTAGCTACCTGCTGCTATTTATGTACCATTGCTAATTCTACTTCTAATTTTACTGACAGACAGTTTTATCTTCTTATATCTATGTATATAGCTACCGAGAAGGTTAATATTATTGTACGTGTCTGAAGTGTGTTTTGATTTATGATTTTTGTCTATTATAATTGTTAGGGAGAAGTTTCTAGATGTTTTATTGGGTAACATTTTGGTAATGATATAGAAACAATATTTTTTATGTAGCTACCAAGTTTTTAGCCTCTTAATAGCCCCATCCGATAGAATACGAACATATATGTATCCGAACATAAATCCAGGTTCAGTGCTGTTACTAAGAGTCTAGATGTAACAGCATCCCTAGGTTAGGTTCCCTTGAGTGATATATTAAGAGGACCCGGTGCCCCCTACAGATGGTGGCTAGTTTTAGTGGAGAAAATCTCACATTCTTCGTTTCTTTTTCTTCAAAAAGCTAGATGAATTTTGAAGGTTTTTAGATCAAAAAAAGGTTAGTTTCGCTGGGTATTCTTGCCGGAGATCTCCTAGTCGATTGCCTTGTTGGCCGAGTGGTCGCAAGTGTGACTGCCGGGCAAGTGATCACGGGTTTGATCCCGGATTGGGCAAAGTATTACTGTTTTTTTTTTAAATCTCACGGGTTCAGAAAATGTGCCCGGTATTATGGCAATAGGCTCACCCCCTATTACATCGGACTCATAACATAAATCGTGAAAAGTGGGTTTTACATTAACTAAAATCGCAGGTTACACACGTGAATATACTGAGAAAAGCTCTACTAGTTTCGAATCACAGAGAGGTTCTTCCTCATGAGCAGCGTGCGCGGCCGCAGCGACGTCGCGCAGCTCACTGTTTTACATTGTACAGTGGCATTAAACGCCGTTATGTGCTCCTCTGCCTATCCCTTCGGGGATAAAAGGCGTAATGTTATATTATGTTATGTGTATCTCCTAGTCGAACTTGCACTTAAAGATTAAAATATCTTCCAAAAAGTGAAAAATTAAGATTTATTATAAGGGACTATTTGATAAGTTCGTTATATCAAGTAGTCGTCTCACGTCTCGACGTAAACTTTTAGAACATATGTGCTAAGTTGGTGACTACAAATAATATTCTTGTCACGAACTTCGGTAGCTTGGACCCCTGATCTTTTACTTTTTTGACCCACTTTTGCGGACCTTGGTTTTATCTTGAGACTTTAAATGCAATCATTCAAGTTCGGAGTCTTTTTGCGGTTGGTTTTGGGATGGGTGACCTGTTAATCGTCTACCAGTGATCAGACCATGGTTCAGGCGTCAATATCTTGAGAATCCGATGGTAACTAGTGTAAATTTATTGAGTTTTTATTAAAGTAAATTCTGTTACCTTTGGGTAGACAGAATCCCTAAATCCCAACACGAAGCCTAATCAGCAACGTTTAATCAGATGATAGCTATATAAAATTCAGTTACGAAGACAGTTGTTCCACAAAATAGATATTTCTATTTCTAATCTTAACTAAACCTACTCATACTTAGGTACTTCTTATTTATCCGAAGATATTCAGGATGATGTGTCCTCTTTTTCTCTATCAGGGACAGTCAATGTACTATATTTTCTGGTGTTACGGGTGTGCATGAGCGGCGTGATTTACATATTATACGGTGGTTCGTCTGCGCGTTTGCCTTTCTATCCCATAAAAAGATCACAATACATTAAAATGGGACATAACACCTTCACCAATCAACCGAATCCAACAATCCTTAAATTCATAATCCTCAAAAAGCTGGTAACGCACTTGTAACGCCTCTGGTGTTCCGGGTGTCCATGGGCGGCGTTGATTGCTTTCATGCGATCCGTTTGAATGTTTACCGGTTTATCCAATAACAACTAGTCGAGTATAACCTCACTTATGAGCTTGTTTCTTTAAGTTAAAAAGGCGTTAATCTTAAGTAAAACGATCACGTACAAAACAAAAGTAATCTTTATACTCAGAACACATCTTGAAGACGTCATAAATACTTGAAGATTTTTAAATTCTGGTGGCGATGCTAAAGAATGTGGTCAACACGTTGTAGAAAGGAATATATCAGAAATCGATTGTTATGTACCAAAAATATTGATTGTTGTTTTTAAAAGTATTTAGTAAAAGGTTTTTGGTTTGAAAAGTGAAGGGAAAGGGTGTAGGTAGTGATGGATCCCTAGGGATGTGCCGTAGATGCCCCAATAGGGCTGATGCCGATACGGAGCCGCCGAAGACTTAACGGGTTACCGGGGCTCCGGCTCGAAGTGCAGGAGTAGGAACGGGGTGGTTTTTAGTCAGAAAGAGACTGACACTCCCGCTCGTCTCACCCGGGCGGGAGAAGTCATTGTATGATTTTACCCTCTCAAAAAAAAGGGGTATACCGTAACAGGCGTTGCACCGCGAGGGCTCCAGAGAAAGTCTATTTTAGAGGTTCCGGTGCCCTTTACAAGTACAGAGGGTGGTTTTAGTGACGTAAAAATCCTACACTCCCAACAATCAGAGCACCTTTTGAAGGTTTCCCACCCATCGTCATCCAAAAAAGGTAGTGACGGATATTAAAGGAAGTATGTTCTTATCAAGGAAAGACACTTTATACTAATGTGTTAATGCTCTGGAAGTTACAAACCATTTTGAAAAGTTATTTTGTACTCATTGAGTTCCAGATAAAACTAACTAGAAATTCACGGAAGTAAGTAAACATGGAAACTATGATGAAATAATACACCGAAAATTTGATCTGATCTCAGACCACCCTTGTTAATCATCCAGAAAATATAGCAAGGACAAGTTATTACGAACAATATCGGGGTAAAATCGATAAACATTCAGATATGAGCACCCGAATCAGAGAGTCGGTAAATCAACATATTTGCATACATTAAGCTATGAATCAACGCATTACAATACAATATTTGTTCTGAGCATGCGCGATGCATACGATATTAGGCTCTGCCTACTCCACACGTAGACCTTCTTTCTTTTGTTCGAACATGACACAATTAGGGATACCCCTATTGAATAAGCAAGTTTCTTTTTGATATGTTAGTATGACAGGTGTAAAGTATTGTGATTTAGGTTTTAAGACATGTTTGGCATTAAACATTGCATCTTGTTTCGTGGAAGCCATTACAAGTGATGTTATTTTACAAGACAATACTTCGATTGTTTTTGCTATAAAATGTAGGTTTTTGGCAATGGAATCTCGATGGCGGTATTTGTCACCATTACCTGTTTAAAAATTGAAGTTTTTTAAATACATTTTTCTACCTTAAGTATCAAAACTTTTTGGTCAAATTAGACCAAAAGTAGGAATCAATCTACATAACTTTTTATGGAATAATAGGAGCTGGTAAACGAGCAGACGAATCACCTGGTAAGCAATCGGTGCTGCCCATGGACACCCAAAACACTAGAGGTCAAAACACAAGTACGTTAGCGGCCTTTTGAGGATTAGGATGGGGATTCAGGGATTGAAAAGATTCGAGAGGGGGGTAATTGGGCTTCCAGTAACCTCACTCTCACGAAATACAAGCGTTGTTTCCCGTCGGTTTTCTGTGAGGCCGTAGTATCACTCCGGTCGAGCCGGCCCATTCGTGACAAAGTATGGAGCTTCCACACTTAAAATTCTCATCAAACTAAAATAAATAATGAGAACAAATGTACATTACTAAAGACAAAGCAAGAACTGAATTTACTAACATTTATAAATGTAATAGGTTTGAAAGAAGGAGAACAATTAGAAAAAAGACAGATTGATAATTTGAAGAATGGTACGAAAGAGAAAGGAGTTTGTAATAAGATTTGTAATAGGAAAGAATGGAAAAACCTAGCTATTGGGTAAATTCTAAGTAATCTGGGATAGAATAGAAGAGCAGGAAGAAGAAGTCTTTGTTTATGATAAGTTTGATGATAAGTTTACAACAGTATAAGAATATGAAGAGAAAAATAGATTCGATGCACTCACGCAACCATCAACTGATTTTAATGAGGAAAAAGAAAAGCAGTTACTAAGAAATGAAACTCTGTTTGTTTGTACAAAACCGCTTTACAGTCTAATAATACCGTAGCAAAAAATAAATATTTACATTGATAAAGAAATTGGAATCGATACAATCGATTTCGAATACCGATTTTTGTGAAATAATCGGATCGATGTTTGGATACGAAACCGGTTACCATCTGTAAAGAATCAATGGGTTTACAGAAGTCCTAATAAATTAGCCTAGATTTACTAGTTTTTGTCTAGGTGTCTATTTTGTCGTAAATTTATTTTTTCATTTCTCTCTTCTTTAGGTTTGTCGGACAAATGTTTATTTTCAGTTCAAAGATCGTTTTTAATTTAACTAAGTGTTTTAAAAGCCAACTTATCAGTTTATTTATAGACGCCACTATATTTTTAACTGTTTCTATGTTTATTTGATATGTTAACATGGGTTCAAAGTTCAGAATCAGTTTGGATAGTTAAAATCCTGGGATTGTTGTCTAATATACGATGGATAATATTGGAGGAAACAGTCAAGATATCAATAAAAAATGATTTTATCAAAAACAAATTGATGTTACTTTCACATTGTTCTAAAATGGGGTTCGGTAATTTGGTCCCACGGTGGGCGCCAACAAGCAATTCTGAATCTACCAAGTTAATACCTGTTTTGAATGTTCTCCTTGTTCACAGGACGAGTTCCATCCGTTCATAGAGGCCCTGATGCCATTTGTAAAGTCCTTTTCGTATACTTGGTTCAATTTACAAGCGGCCAAACGGAAATATTACAAGAAACACGAAAAACGGATGAGTCTCGAGGAGGAACGCCACACTAAATATGAACTCCAGGTAAATACTATATTATCATCAAGATTTTCTTACATTTCATTGGTTCATTGAACCGTTTCCAACATGGAATGATGCCTGTAGCATTATGTTGCAGAGTGTTACAGATGTTACCGTAACTGTTTACCATGCGGTTCGTAAGTTGCAGTTCAACTTAGCATCCTTCGCAAATATCTAGACTAGGATTCAATATAACATAGTGCTGACTTTCTTGGCAACCGAAACTGAATAATTAAGTAATTATTGAGTAAGATTTAATAAAAAAAAGTTATACTTCCTTGTGCGTACTGCTAAGGAGGAGAGGAATTCTTTGCCAGAGTCTGTATAACCTGAGTGTCTTCAAGGCCCTAGTGGATAGGTTGTTTATGGGACGACGTGCTCCATCGTAGACTGCGTCATCGCTTACCACCAGACGAGATAGTAGTCAAACGTCGGCAAATATGAAAAAAATAATGCCGAGCACAACTTTCTGAACTTTTAAAGCTAAACTTTGAAGCCGAAATAGACCAAACGAAAATTTTCTCAGGATTTAAATCTCACTTCCTAGAATTAGAAGATTTTGAATTGGTAACAAAAAAAAAAAAACTCAAATCATACAAAATACTAATCCAAAACAAAAAATGATTACAGAATGAAAAAGCAGAGGTAAAACAAAAATGGGCATCGCGGCTGCTAGGGAAACTCCGCAAGGATATCACGCAGGACTGCCGCGAGGACTTCGTGCTGAGCATCACGGGGAAGAGGCCAGCTGTCTGCGTGCTCTCCAACCCTGACCAGAAGGGGAAGATGAGAAGGATAGATTGCTTGCGGCAGGCTGATAAAGTAAGATAATGTTTATGAATTGATGTTTTTTAAACTATCAAACACCGCGAGGTCACCGGTGACCGCAACCTATTGTTCTTTAATTGTGTCTATAATGACGGTACTCAAAAGCTTAAAACTTGTTGTTGTCCTCAGTTATGTTGTAAATTGAAAAAAGGTTTTGTACAAAATTACTGATAGACTTAATGGGAGACAGTTCACTTTCAGTTATCATTTCAAAAAGATTGGCAATACCAACGGGGCGAAAATTTAAGTTACAAATAAAGACTGATTATTATTGTTTAACTAAAGCTGGATAAAAATAATACCAAATGGCTCTGGTATATCAGCTGCACTATGCTCGGTAGTCCTTATCTTTCCAAAATTACGCAGCTTTCAGTATAACATAACATCACATGTTTTATTCCCGAAGGAGTAGGCAGAAGGTGCAAATTGCTAGACTTAATGCCACTGTACAATGTAACAACCACATTTCACTATTTACTATATGTTATGAGTCCCATGTAATAGGGAGTGAGCCTATTGCCATATACCGAGCACAATTCCATATTCCGATGCTACTACTGAGATTTTTCTTCTACTTTGATCTTTTGATATACAAATCTGATAATCATGACATTAAAATGTTATCCCAATTTTTCCAGGTATGGCGCTTAGACCTAGTAATGGTGATACTATTCAAAGCTATTCCTCTGGAGAGCACGGATGGCGAGCGCCTGGAAAAGCACCCAGAATGCACGCAGCCAGGCCTCTGCGTGAATCCATACCACATCAACGTATCTGTCAGAGAATTGGACCTGTATCTGGCGAACTTTATAAACAGCTATGGTAATGGGAGCGACGGTCTACCAGGTCTCTCGCTCACTTTATATGTGAACTGCTTTTTTGTTATCTGTTTTTGTGGATGAGTTCTCATTATTTTTGGAGAAGATTTTGCTTCTTTGTTGGCAATGCGCTGTGACTAATTTTGTATTACGTGAGTCAATAGGCGACGTTGACCACTTACCGGTGATCCGTATTTTCATTTGTCTCCTACGTTTACAAATGATGTATTATTATAGAAATAATGTAAGGCCACAATAAAAAATATCATGACTTACGAATGAAATTAGCTAAATTCTATGACAATTATGAAGCTTTTATTAATTTGATTTTCATCGGTAACATGAAGATGCAGATGAAGCAGAAATAAAGAACTACTCGCATTGTTTTGTAATGTTTATTATGTAAGTTACTGAAATAATAATGAAAGCTCATCCCACTTCGTTTACTTTTAGTTGCATAAAATTAGTCCTTAGTAATAGATGCATGAATTTTAATTTTAATTTGCGAATTAACGTTATTGAAAAGTAAGCTCTAGTACATACTCCAATGTGACTGATTCCGACTCATATGTACTTTCTAATATTATCTAGACACCATTGACAAACGGTGAAGGAAAACATCGTGAGGAAACCTAGGCTTATAGTCTCTGATTATAAATTTGAAATCGCTAACCCGCATTAAGCAAGCGTCACCACGCTTGTTCAATACGGGTTAGCTGGTTGGAGAAGGATTGACGATTAATCACCATTAATCGTCAATCCTTCTCCGTGCATTTGGTCAGTAGGGGCTACTTATTGGCTGTTAATTGGAGAAGCTTTAGTAACTTGGATAAGGATTAGATTTGACAAGAACGGAGAAGCTCAAAGCTTTAATATATTTTTAAGGGGGGAAAATCATCGAATGACTTCTCCCGTCTGGGAGAGGCGGGAGGGAGTGTCCTGCACTTCGAGCTGGAGCCCCGGTAACCCGTTAAGTTATCCGCGGCTCCGACAATTAATTCACCTACAAACGTTTAAAGAGTCAGGCACCATCTCAATTGAAATTAACCTCTATGCCTTTTTTGTTTCCTTTTATATATTATGGTAGTCATAGTAGGTAGTATTAGATTAGTTATTCGTTTAGAAAATAACGTCTAGTATCTAAACCTGCCTTGCGTATTTATATATCGTTTAATGTCTGATTCCATTATTGTTGTCTCTTCTGTATTAATTAAATCTTTTACTGAATCTGCTTTGCTAAATATTTCACGTATCTATCTATTTAATCTTTCGGTGTATTTTTTTAATACTGATATTAGGAAAATTCGTAACTATTCTGGTTTTATTGGTACTATGACCACATTGTGTCGTCATTGTAGATGTAGACTGACTTTGTTATATTCTACTCTAGTTCCAATGTATTCTTTAAAAATAAAATGCATAGTATGATGGTTTACCGAACATGTGGTATTCTCTCATCTCATCTAATATCTCATTCATCGGTCATTCAAATATGAATTTTATTTTTTATGGTTATAATTGATTTAACTACTGCACTGAAATTATTTACAGTACAGTATGTGAGAATAATTCTTTTGAAATTAAGAAATTATACAGACAGATTTGACGACACATTGGAAATAGTGACCTATTACCGAAAAGCTAAAGTTTGGAATCCTGGTACGAGGATCCTCAGCAAAAATAGGGTTCTTAATCATATCGTACAATGAAGTTGGTGTGATTTCAGATATTCTTAGCGGGTCGCTCTCCCCTCAGACTCCTAGGGACAAAGAGAACGAACACGAGGCTAAGAGCAAAGGTAACTCGAGAACGAGTAATGTTACGTCTTGTGACACGTGTGTTGTTATGCGTTCCTTCTGCGGTTGTGGCAAACAATATGGTTTAGATTTTATGTTCATTGTAGTAGAGTTTAAATTGGATTGTGTTTGGTAAGGCGTTAAGGATGAAATTGTAGGGTTTTGGGATGATGTAGCTGTTTCTGATAATGTTCAATAGAACATCATGGCTTATAAGCCAGATACATAATTCTTTTATGTTATTTGTGAAACAGTAGGCTTGATAAAAGTATTTACTTGCTTGCGAGACGTGAATATTGCATATTAGTAGCAGCGCGACAGTCACACCGTCGTGTATCGCGGAATGCTACTCATGAATATGAGCCTCTAGCATGTCGAGTTTCCCGTCAAACACTTACGTGAGTTAGCCGAAAACATAATAGTTGATATGAATATAATTAGGATAGCTAATACAGTACACGCGGTAACCACATAGAAGATTTAGAAATCAAATCTAATGTTTGTTAAAGTCGCTAAAGAAATTCGGACGATGTCGCTATCGATATCATGTCTTTTTTGACAAAAGTGTTTGATGTTTATACAAGTGTAGATATTATGAATTGGGTAATAGTAGACATTGAATACAATTAGGGACTATAAATTATTCAATTGATTGCTGCACTGTCGAAGGAACATAAATGTGATTGGTTTGCACAAAAAGTAATTTGTCCTTCAAATTTTTTTTATTTTATTTCATATTTTATGCATTTACAAATGAGAAATTTTAATACCTGCATCAAATTGGCTTGCACTTACACTTTTCATGCTTTTATTGGTATCAAAATTTTTGATAAAAATCACATTTTTGGGATTGCCAGAGTAATGTTTGCTCCTTTGTTGTTTTTTGAAAATTATTTGTATGTAGTCGGTGTTCCTTCTCTTTCACTATTTCTATCTTTATATTTATCGATATCTTTTAGAATGTGTACCTTGGTATTATCTGAATCATCTCTAACTTTCAAAAATTTATTTACTTTAATATCTTAAATTTTATCATCGTCATTATCAAAACAATTGTCCTTACCAAGTTCCGCGTTTGTAAAAGATATCGACTTGATGTTGTCTATAAACTAAGTTGCATCAACTACTTATTTGTACAGTCGAAAATGTGCTCTGTTTTACAAGGTTTACAGTTTAATGTTGATAATTTTTGGACTATAATATCAAATTATTCTAAGAGCTAGTACATTCGTATTGCTGCAACATTATAGTTAGTTTTCTTAAGTTATAAATATTTTAATTATCAACATTTTCATTCTTTTTGTCGTTCTCATAGACATTTTAAGGATTACTTAAACTATTCCTTAGTTATGATTTTATTCCGAAAACAATCGACTGGTCTCTGTCTCCGAAATCAATCTGGTTGCCAGTGCAACTGCTGGGTAAGGGGTCTTGAGGGAAAAGTACAACTGATTTTTTTTTATTCTCAGTAGTAGCACGGAGTATGGAATTGTGCCCGGTATGGTAATATAGGCTCACCCCCTATTACATGGGACTCATAACATAAATAGTGAAATGTGGGTGTTATATTGTACAGTGGCATTAAGTGTCATACACCTCTTCGTGAATAAAAGGCGTGATGTTATTTTATGTTACAATGGTTAGGAGCTGGGTTAAAGTAATCATTAAAGACTCTGAGTACAGCGGTTAATGTTTTTCTTCCAAAAGTTCATTAATGAAGAGTGAATTTTGGAAGTAATTTTAGAAAATTCAGTAAAAATAACTTAAGAAAACTAACTTATTGGTAGTTATATTGTCGTTGAATGTTTTCTGTATCGTATACATGTTTGATGTCGTGGCTTTACTTACTATAAGATGAGAAACCTGTGATCAAAACAGGCGCTTAGGATTAAGGTGTTAAAATCTAATTTTCTACTGTCTTCATTTTCTTAAAGAAAGGAAGATGGTATGAAATATATTTACTCGACGTTGCCTTTAATAGAGACATATACTATGTTAGTCAGAACTGACATACATTTTGTATCACATAATTATATTTTGAAGTATTAACTATTAAAGGGAACGGCATAGTTATATGATTAAGTTAATGTTATTTTACTATCTAAGAATTAATATTTCCCCCTGAAAATTATAATTGGGATGATGACGGGGTATGAAAATTAAGAATCTAATTAGTCCGCCAGTTAGTCAAATGAAAAAATATTAGACATGTATTTTTTTATTTCGTCGTATAATGAAATAATACTTAGATAAAACGAATCAAAGTTTAGGAGTGGAGGCTAAAACGTCATTTCTACGTATAAAATGTACATAGAAGTGACGTCACGCGACATTTCAAATCAATATATCGTCGAAAGTATTCGTTTCTGTAAGAAAATAAAAAATACGTGTCTAATGTTTTTAAATAATCTACCAGACGGACTTTAAAATAAAAATTAGGCATATACCCTATTATATGCTATTAATCGCCAGGAAAAGGCAGGATCTTTATAAGGTCTATAGTGTCTATACCTACTATACGTACAAAAATGGATATATGAACTGATTTCATTAATAATGCTCAAATGTATGCATATATTATACCATGCATGACCGAGATATTCCTCTTTATATCTGGTGATATAAAGTAATCACTTAAATACAGAAGCAGTACATAGTAATGAAAGGATAGTCGTCATACGTGCTTCAAATATCAGTGAAAATATTGTAAAGGACACCCAATTTCTCCCATCTTCCCAAAAGGCATTCGGTATCGCACTCCTTATGCCTTTGGTATTACAATTGTCCATTGGTAGTGCTTTGAAAGAGCTGGCAATTTACTATCAAGTAAACTGATACTAAAAGCAGTAAAAATAATACCCATAATGTGTTTAGTGATCTTGCATTTCTTGTGTTCGAGTACTTGGATAGTGTTTTTTTATTAAAATCAACCATTTCTGAACGGATAATTTGAAGTATATTTGACACGAAATGTGTCAGTGAATTCCACAGCATGTTTTTCCGAATTTGTAAAACAGGCCCTGTCATGGTAAACCGTTAAGTTAACATCTAAATATTATAATTAGCCAGTAAACAAACGTCATTAGTCCATGCGTCATTCAACACAAATAAAATCAGATAAGCACGTATGACGGCTATCTGCGTCATTAAAAGTCCGAATGACGCGCCTGTCCTATTTTAATTGAGAGTGTCATTAAATTGTAACGTCTGAAATGGGTGATTTCAGGCTATAGTCACAATCCATACAACGGTGTAATATGCAACGATATTATTTTAGCGACTGGTGTCTTCTCGTCCAAGGAGTTGTGGAAGCTGTCTAAAGGTACACATTCATTCTAGTTTGATCTGTAGTAAGATAGTCTTTAAGTCCAATTTAAAGAATCTATTAAATTAGGTGTCCTATACGGAATTAATTTTCCCACTCTTTGGAGTTATCTATAGATTATTAAGTTGCATTGACAAACCAATTTTAAGTTGCAATTAATTATAAAATGATATTGCGAAGAGGAAGTTATTTAATGACGCATATAAATAATATTGTTTGGCAGAGTTTGACGCATCCCATACATACGTACAACATTAGTACATATTTATAGAAGTCAAAGAACTACTAGAAAAAAAACAATTACATATGTTTATAAAAAATTGGTTAGACACCGCTTTATAAGAAAAAACAATCTTATTGCAAAAGTTACAAAGTTGAATTTAATCTTTTATTTCCAGCATCAATTCTTCAAGAGACGGGGTCAGAGTCTCCGAGTGGCTCCGGAGGCGGCATTAAGCTGGAGTCAGGGTATTACTGTGGGTACAACAGCCCAGCGCCGCCCGCCTTCGAGCCCCCTGCTGAGAGAGCCACCCCGTCCGCCATGCTTGTTGGACAGTGCTATAGTGAGTACAGCTTACAATTTTAATCTATATTTAAAAAAGCTGAAGTATTTGTTTGTTTGATTGAGCTTACTAATGTTTTAATAATAACTATCCAAAGACATATCAAATTAACTAAAAATCGCGGGTTATTAACGTGAGTATACTGATAAAAGCTCTACTAGTTTCGAGCCATAGAGGGGCTCGTCCTCATGAGTAGTCGGCTGCGCGAATTCGACGCGATCGCGCACGCTGCTATGAGGAAGAGCCCCTTTGCGGCTCGAAACTAGTAGAGCTGAATTTACTTATGTCCAGAAAAACCAGTAGTGTTCAATGCACGAAAGCTGTCAAAAAGCTAGTGCGAGCTTAGATATATATCATGGAAATAGTACTAAGTTAAATATATCTAAGGTAGTTTTACTCAGGCGATGATCGAAAATAGAAGGAAGTATACACCAATAAAAGAAATCAAATTACATTACTAAAATTATATAAAAAAATAAATTAAAGTACATAATATAAATTACTATAGCATTTACGATAGCTTTTACATGTGACAAATATTGATGCAAAAAATATTAAACTGTCAAACACCAAGCGGTCACCGGTGACCGCAAGACCGCAACCTATTGTTTTATAATTGTGTCTATAAATACGGTACTCGACGAGTTAATAGACTAAAATTAAATCTAAAATAGATACTCTCTATGCGTCTAGACCCAACTAAAAGTACACGTAACTTAACCCAAATAAATAATAATCACTAGTCAACAGGAAAACCACCATACCTAACATTATAATGATTATAATCGGCAAATGAATCATTAACAACAATCGAATTGTAATAAAAAGTCATCGCGACAAAAACTGATGTCAATCAAAGCAAAATACTAAAATATTCAAAGCACGTGCGCCTGCGCACCTAAATATAGTGTGCGTGTATGGCACATGTATTGTTGTACGCGGTGACGGTGTGTGGTTATTTTAGATGTTAATGTGTTGTATTTTTAGTTGTGGTAGTGTTTCTAGAAATGGTTTTAAGATTTGTTAGTGCAACATTTGTGTAAATAGAGCTCTTCTCTATTATTTATTTTAATTTCTTCGTATAACTTTATTGCAATTGAAAGAAATTTTATATTAATAATGTAATTTATTAATCAATTTACTATGCATTATTTTTTAAATTTTGTTGATTAGGCTAATTTATACCTTGTGGGCCAAATTGCCCAAAATCAAAATATTTATTTATGCCTACTCTTTTTAAATCACGTAGAAACTTCACCTACGCGATATAGGACTAATTGTGCCATCTGTTGGTTTTATCATGAACTTATGCCACAATGCTATTGACACTAAACATTTGTTTATCATACTCTTTTCTATTTTCACAGGTATCCCCCACAGCTCAGCAGGCCTGTCTGCTCAATCACCATTGGTACCTTCGAACACAATCTTCTACCAGCATGCAGCACCACCCACCGACACACATCCCACAAGTAAGCTTCATCCGCCATCTGTTGAGTTTTGTTGGAACTAATTCATTGACTACCCTGGTTAAGCGTCAAGACTTGAGCACTGACATGTGCCGCAGCTGATGATGATGATGAACCTATGTTTCCTTAGTGTTTAGGGTTCTTCTTTCTTTTTTTCTTCTTCTTATTTTATCGTTGTCCCACACTAGGATTTTCTCCTGTGTCGTGGGCGCGTTTACAAACATACAATTTTACATACACGTGCCACCTAGACCCGGAACAACAATCTGTGGATCACACAAAGAGTTGTTCCGTACGGGAATCGAACCTGCGACACGGTGCATGGCAGCCGGTTGCCCAGCCACCACACCAAAGCTCAGTAGCACGCCACTGACCTTGGTCTTCAGCTCTTCTCATCCAACCACAGCTAGCCTGCGAATATCGTCACTCCACCTAGCTGGAGATCGCCGTACACTACGTTTACCTCGACGTCTCCACTCTAGAACACGTTTACCCCAACGGTTATCGCTTTTTCGACAAATGTGACCGGCCCACTGGCTACAATATTAACTTAATTTTCAATTAATTATTTCTATTATTTTTTTCAGCATCTGAAGCGCTGTCCAGCCAGCATGCGAGCGGCAAGTATGACGGCGCGCCACAAGACTCGCTCGGAGACTTCGTTACTTTCGTCTGCCCTGATGCGACTGTCACAGATGTGCAGCAGTTGCAGGTGTGAACCTTCAACCATACTTTGATATTTGTTCCTATTTTCATCTAAGGATAATATATGTATGTTCTCAGTTAAAAATAAGTTTGTAACCGTGTTAGGGAGTAAAGTTGTGTCGTTGGTCTATGATGAGTTTTGGTATAACAAACAATTTGTCTGTAAGAACTTTATCATCATTCCTGTCTAATTTCACTCTTTTCTCCAATCAGGTGCACAGTCTTTCGAGAAGTCCAAAGCCACCATACTTCAGCAGCTCGATGCTTCCTCCACCGCCACTTCCTCCGATGGCCAGACCTGTTGCCATTATCAGATCCACAGGTAGATTGTCACGTTAAAACGAGCGTTGTTTTAGGGCATCGTAAACTAGCGGATAGATTACCGTATGGTAAGCAATCAGCTCGCTTATGGACACCCATTTCACCAGAAGAGTCGCAAGTGCTCTACCGGCATATGCCGTGCATTTTAAGATGAAGTATACTCTTTTCTTCAATGTTGTTTCGGTTTAGAAATACCTTCACCGACAGTACATTTCACAAAAAAAATTGCGGTCTGAATGAAAAATGTCGTGGTGGCCCGGAGGTTTAAGACGCTGGCTTCTCATGCATCAGAATGCGGCTTCGAAACCTACCAACGGCAAGTACCAATGTGACTTTTTCCGAGTTATATGTACTTTCTAAGATTATTTAGACACCACTGACAAACGGTGAAGGAAAACATCGTGAGGAAACCTGGGCTTATAATTTCTAATTATAAGTTTGTAATCGCCAACCCGCATCGAGCAAACGTGGTGATTAATGTTCAAACCTTCTCCGTGTGAGAAGAGGCTTTGCTCAGCAGTGGGCATTTATAGGCTGTTGATGATGATGAATGAAAGTCTCAATGGCCATTGTCCCTTCTGCTTCCAGCTAGTGAGATGGTAGGCGGTAGTGTGGTGGGTGGCGGGGGCACGTCGCCGTCGTCCCCCGAGGTGCGGTCGCCGCCCGCGTCCCCGCGCCGCCGCTCGCCGCACCCCTACCGCACTGACTGCCATCCACCTATCTCACACTTCAACCATTTCCACTCGCAACCACAACAGGTATGATAATTAAAGAACATCTGTACATATGTATGAAAAACTGCAGTTGTGTTAAGTCTGTATATTGAAAATATTAAAAAAATAAATAGTACCGCGTTACTAGATAGACACCGAATCAAAAATGAGATTAAAAAAAAATTGTCTGTCTATCAGTCTATATGTTCACGCATCACGCAATAACTACTAGTCCGATTACGATGAAATTTGGTATGATTATACTTTAATATCCTGGGCATAACACTAGTATTTAATAAGTTTTATACTATCACCATATCTGATAGTTTTTAAGTAACAATTTTCTTCTTTCTATAATTATTTTTTGAAGATGCTATTTCATAAAATAAATAATGTAACATTCGTAATGGAAAACCACCCCTTAGCGCCTTACAAATGTGTGCTCCTTTATAGCATATTTAGCTGTCTTCTTCTATATTCACTTACTCTGTTGGCTCAACGACCCAAAGTAGATATTAACCTTTGAGTTTCTATTCTTCCCAATTCCAAATCTATTTACCCAAAGTTCTTGGCTGTTTGACATCAAACACCACCTCAATGGTCCCGATCTTCTGTCATGCCTTCAGCAAAATATTTAAAGTATTCAATAAAAGTGACATATTTCACTTTAACGTGCTTTTTGACACCCTTACAACATTTCCAGGTCTTCAGCTATGCAAGTTCGCTGGGTGGCGTCGGCTTAGGAGGCGGGGTATCAGGAGTGGGGGCTGGTGGGGGAGCGGTGATGGCAGGAGCTGGTGGGGTCTCACCCCCAGGTGGACTAGGTCTCTACGCACCACGGGCCTCTGCGAGAGCTGCGCCTAGGTGGGTTTTAGAGGACTTGGGACCGATTAACAGGTCCGTATGAGGACACCAGGGGTGTTTGTTGTAATCTTGGGTTTTTTGAGGTTCAGTTTTGATAATATAATATGCATTATATAATTGATTATGGAGTAATTTTTTTTGAAAGCATTTTTTTAAAGAAACTGAATTTCATTAAATCCTGAATTGTCATTTTCATTAGTACACCCCATACGAGTTTGAAAAACTCTTTCATTTTCTTTATACATTTACGTGAAAATTGATATTCACAGACTCACCATATAATCACATTCATGACATAAAATTTAGGGATTTCTTTACTGCTAAATATTTATTTACTTATACATTTAGAAAACCAAAAACTATACAATTTGATTAAATAGAATGTGGTATGCAACAAAAAGTCTATTACTGATTTCCACGATTAGTAAGGAAAGTTAGAGAGTAGAAACATGCTAACACAGTTCTAAAATTACGTTATTAAACTTATTAAACCACAGGCAATCTATAATGATGCACAAATTACTCTAAATATAATAATAAGGATAATATAAGGATAAGGACAATAAGGACCGTATAGGTACCACTATGAATTAAAGCAATCAAGGTTTAGAGGCTTAATTTACGTTTAAAGTATTCGAATCGAGTATGCGTTCGGCACTCTGATTGGCCGGCGCCAATGAAGTAGCCAATCACAGCACTGAACGCGTACTCGTTACGATTACTTTATACGTAAAACAAACTTGTAAGTAAGTTTTGTTTTAAAAGGGTCGAAAGAAATTTTTTTTTTATTTAAGTAAAACTTTGCCCTACATTAGGATTTTCTCCTGTGTCGTGGGTTCGTTTACAAACATACAAGTTCACATACACAATGACACCCAGACCAGAAACAACAATCTGTTGATCACACAAAGTGTTGTTCCGTGCGGGAATCGAGCCCGCGGCACGTTGCACGGCAGGCGGTTGCCCAGCCACCGCACCAACCGTGCAGTCAAAATCTTTACAGAGTTTATTGAAATCATTGATCGCTCGCACAATATACGAATATTATAATAATTTTACGTACAATAAGGTGTATTTCGTTTCCATTATCAGTATGAAGAGACAAGCACAATAGCTCCATTAACAACTTCATTTGCCATTACTTGATAAAATAAAACCCTTCTTCAAGTTCTGGTGGTACTTGCAGATGGAACGCACCATTCCCAACGTTGGAAGAAGAGTTCAACATAATGACGGCGCCACCAGGACCTGATCATGTAGTCCTGCTGGATGATGGTGAGGATACAACAGACAAATTATCTACTTCTGTGTTTAATGTGGAAGTATGAATGGTCGATGTCTTTACTTAAGAGATTGCTGTTTTTGCCTTGAATTCCAAAAGTAAAAGGACTTTATTATCAGGGTGTTAGTTAACTGGTTTATCTTCTATGGTAATTGATTTTTATCTACAGATATAAAGTATTTAACCTTTCAGTAGGTTCGATTGTTTGGTCGTAGTGAAGGTCAAACTGATTGGTGCTAGGTGCGAATATATTTTGCAATATTTAATATTTATTTTCTTTGTGTGAAAAATATAACTCCAATATATACTCTTTGTAATCCTTTCGTATTACGTATCGATACATTTTACATTATTTATCTATCTGAGTACTTATTCATGATACGTTTTCTACTTTCATGCGTACTTTTACAGAGTGCCCGTCAAGAGTGCTATTGTATGACGTAGCCATATTGTGTAAGATACTATCTTTTATATAGTAATATAATATCTCAAGTATCTAGACTATCCCGCATGACAATATTCGCTTTAAAAATCGACTGTGATACCTCCATTGAAATAATTAAATTTCATTCTCCAGAACGCTTCTTCCAATCAAGTGTGATTACATCGGAAGCGACTGCGATGGACACGACTGGCTCAACCGTCGGATCGGTCGTCGACACATCGGACGACATCGCGCCCGATAAGCCGGCGCCCGACTTGCGTTCACCGTGATCCCACGCTACTACGTCGGTCGGTGTCGCAAGTGTCGGGCACGATGGATCTGTCGCATCGGTCGGGGCAGTAATTAGTGCTGAGTCTGACGCACCCGTGTCGAGTGTCGGATCTATCACGTCGGTCGCGCCGACGGCGACCGTGCTCCGCTGGACACCCGCGCCACTCCCGCACTGGCGACCCGTCTCGCATCGGACTGTTTAATTTCTAAACGTTATCTCTGAATGTCGGGGGATTAGTGTAAATATAAAAATGGAATTAAAACGGAAGAGGTTGTAGTTGAAATTTAGATTTTACAATTTTTAATCTGTGTCGATCCACTGCATTCGTCCTCGCGACATAACTTTGTCGCGGCGTTCAATAAGATTATAGAAATACGAATTTCGACAGACGCGGGTGATCGACATGGTTTTCATTTATTACTTGTTAAGGCGATAACAAAATACAATACTCCAACGATAATTATGTAAAAATATTAAAGCTACGAAATAAAACAACATATTATATTCTAATATTTTTATAGAATATAAAAACAAGTATGATATGATCAAGCCTTCCAGTAATTTAGTAAAATAAAATGTTAATAAAAAGTGCAGCTTATAAAATATTGTTTTGCTGAGCTGTGAGACAGGATAAGCGAATAAAATGCTTCCAAAGGCGTCAAAACTGTTTGAATTGACGAAAGTGTGATACTATAAGTTGTTTTTTTTGTTTCGTTGTTGTGTGTTTTGTAATGGAAATAAAAATTAAATAGAATGTAAGTCGTCGGTTAGTTAAAACATTTTTTATTTTATTTATTGAACGAATATTTAATAAAGACGAGCCTTGCTTAAGAGATTAGTTTAGTTGTAATTAGTAGCGAACAGAGTAGTTGATTTATTGTACTTTCGATCGGGAGAAAATTGATGCAAAATTTGTATAAAATAAGAAAAAATAGCAAAAAGATTTTCTATGTAATTTTCGCACAAAAATAAATCTACGATATTGATCTCAGTGACAGAATTTTACCGTGGCGAGTAAAATTTTTCTTTTTATTATTTTTTTTTGTATTTTTTTATTTTTTTTAATATTCTGACATCGAAAGCGACAATAAATCATTAGTAGATCGACATAAGTCGAAGGACATTTTATAGGTGCCTTTCATAAAGAAAAAGTAAATTAACTTAAATAATAGGGATTTGTAAATTGTAGAGTTCTTTTTGATAAATCCATCCGCTCATACTTATAACAAATGTTTCACTGAGTATTTAACTTAAGTAGTGTGTGTTTTGTAACCAAATTGGGTAAGCGAGACGAGTGGACTAGATTTTTGTTTTCGCACATACCTTTAAGAATAATTAAAATGTTCATAACTTTAAAAATGTCAATTGTACATCAAGTAGCAAAAAAAAAAAGTTTTTTATTGTTTTTTTTTTGTTTATATTCGGAATGCCAATGTAATGCACAAAATACTCAAATAATAAACGTGTGACTTTGGTTACATAATGCACATGTGAATACTATAATCCTAATAAACGTAAATACTAGAAATTATTTAGTTTTGTCACTCATGGAAATGATTTTTTTTCGCAATAACAGTGGCCATACGAGGAAAGCTAGTCATTAGAGTTACAATGTAAATTTATTGTTACTTAAAATAATAAAAAATATTTACAATTATAAAAAACCCCTTACGTTTATTAGTAAGGGGTGTGAAACTAAAAAAATGTGGCCAAATTACACTTAATGAATGAAATCCAAATATATATACACAATTTTTAATAGATTTAGAATTAAATAAGCGTGGTAAAATTAAGTTCGTAGCGAAGAACAATTGACTATAATTCGAGTAAAAAAAACCTAAAAATACCTTTTGACGCAAAAAATTCCACGTCATTTTGTCACAAACACCATTATTTTTGTCTGTTAGACTTTTGATACACACGTCATTAATTCACCATCAATAAAACCGACAAGTTTCCTTTAATACGACACAAATACAAACACAATTTCTTTGGATTTCTATAAAATAGTGTAGAGAGAAACCGTAGCAATAAAATACAAAAGCAATAAATAAATAAAAAATAATTATAAATAAACAAAAAAGGGCTTTAGTGAGGCTAGAGATTGGTACTGAAACGTAGTGTGAAATATATAAACAATTCGCAAATATATTTTCTATAGACAGATTGACGAGAGGCTGGGTACTATGTAAAATGATAATTATACTGCAGTTTGGTACAATTAAATAGCTATTTGACAAAAATATATTAGACTTACAGCTATAGACGAACTAGGCAAAAGGCGGGATTAGTCAATTGCTAGCTATAGAAAACATTATTAGAATATAAAAAAAAAACATTAGGAAGTAAATACGTCATTAAGGCTTGTTGATAAACAGACAAAAACAGTTTCGTCATTGTGAAAATCTGGAAGAGGTGACCTTGTAACGTGGTAAGGCAATATTAATAGTGGTGACGAATTTAAAGCTCATTGGTGCCGAAAATTCTAGACTGTGATTCAATTGTTCATTCAGAACGTGTCTTATATTGAAATAGTTGTTTTTGTATGATTGGCAATGCACAGTGGGTGCTGTATAATACAAAAGAAATGTATTGTAAAATGGCAGATAAGAACATGTTGTATGAAATGCATTTGTTATAATTGTAAAGATATGGTAACAGCGGGTGTAAGCTGAGAAATGTAATTTTTTTGACAGCGTACGTAGAAACGGTAGATTTATTTGATAGCTTTGCAGTAATTTATATGGATGTGACTAATACAAGATTTTGTATGGAAAAATTTGGTGAAAATGATGTATTGGTCGCAACATGTACTTTTTTGTTTCATTATTAGCACCATAAATACGATATGGAGTAATAATTGAAAGCCTAAACATTATGTGCCTTAGATACAACAATATTGTATGATATTTATGATGCGTTCTATACAACGTGCTAACTAGAAATAAATGATAAATATTATTTTGAATGCCTGGACTTTGGACGATTATCTTCATTATTAGACTTCATTTACGCAAAGGCTTGTATGTACTCCTAAAGATTTTGTAACCTTCAAATGCAACTATTGTAAGTTTAGGCCCAATGTTCGGAAAATTTGTAAGTAACCCTTAATATGTTAGTTTCTCTTCCTAAAACTCTTTCCCTTTAAGTTATATATTACATTGTTTTTATATTGTATCTATATGAAAAATCGTAAGTAACTGGGCACCCATCAGTCTGGAAATTGATTTCAAATCCAGAAATATAAATTATAACCCTCATGTAATATTATTGTACGATTAAGTAACGCTTCTACGCGTAGTTTCGCTGAAATATAAAGAATAATTCTATGATATTGTATAATTTTAGTACTTACCTACATTGTACCCATTTATGTACCTATATATACTTTACTGGCATGTATATTCTTAATCTACGCGACTTGGAATAGCCACGCTTTTTTTTTACGAAGTACTTAGACACCACTTTGATTCTCGCATGGCTTTTTGATATTAAAAAAATTACAATCCAACTATTCTATCAACTTGTATGATAATTTCTTTTAAGTTATAACTTCTTATTATAAAAAAGGAACGAAAATCCGTCTTATAAGTTTCGTGGATTTCAAATGTTGATTACATGATACGTAAATAGAGAAAAGTAATTATAAGGATAATTAACCAATAGAGAAATACTCCTAGTTACGAATTTCTTAGTTCATCTGATGTGCAATTACGATTAACTGTTTTTTTAGCGAATTTGTTAATTTTTATTAGTATCTAATATTACGATTGTATCCATTATCATTGTATGTAAATATGTTCCGGAGTGTATTTATATTTTTTTTATTTGTATAATTAACATTAGAATGCGTTTATATGTTATGTTTGTCATCGGTCATGTCCGCTTTCATATTCATTTAGATTTTTACAATTTTTCTTTATTTTTAAAAATAGAAACATGCGAGTCGAATGGCTTATTCCAACGGGAGATTAGTTCAAACCAATGGCTCCCCAAAGTTGGAATATGTCATTAGGTTCCTGCAATAAACTAAAGATAGACTTGTAAAAATGTTATAACATGTATTTTTAACCTATACATAGTAAGATATTTATAGAATTTTAGTCGTTTAATTATTTCGAACGACTTGTTATAAAGAAAATTGGTGCTTAAAGCTTAAAACAAAATATGACGGCACTTTGTCGTGTGTGTATTGTCATGGAAGGAGACAGAGCATTATGACATAGCATGCGTTGTTATGCTTTCGTGCGATACAGAATCGTTTATTTCGAAATTCGAAAAAAGAACGTTAAAATAATAGGCCGCCGCTCCAAGGTTAGTGCGTGCGGATTACACTTACGAATGTTTTTTTTTAAATATTTTTCTTTATTTGAATGTTTTGTTTTTTATGTGTAATTATAGAAAAAATAAACGATTTTATATCATAATGCAAGCAGTTATAATAATGTAGGTAAACTTTGCTCAATATCGATGAAAACTGAAAGTGTTACAGTTGATGCAATACAAACAAACAAACATAAACAATTGAGTTTTATTTTAATGAACTTTTATGCCCTAGACCTTTTAATATCCCTATAGTTAGTATTGGCAAAACTTTTCTTTTATAAAACCTCACAATTTTTGATATTAAATAAAAATTTAGGATGATGACGATTCCTAAAATGTTAAGAAAATATTATTCTAGTTATTTTATTTATCCCAAACGGCACATCTCACAGTACCTAACACCTTAACCAAGAAATCGTACCCACAACCTTCTTTTCATTGCTAATTAAAATAAACATATTTCAAAAATGAGCGCGAAAATGAACTACTACGGCTTGGTGCAAAATGCCATGCACAGAGGCGACACCTATGCATCTCGACCGTAACTAATTCACTTAATTGACGTCATAGACGGATAAAACCTCTTTTCTGACGAAAAAGTGCAATGCTGGTCAATTGCTGTGATTATTGTTGTGAGGTAAGTTATATTGTCTTTATTAAAGTTTTATTTAAGTTGTTGAATATAGTAATTAATTAGTTATTTCGATTTTAACGTAAGAACAAATTATTTTTGTTGCATAGTCCATTGATGGCACCAAAGAGTTTTTAATCCTAACTTATGAGTGTCTATTCTGTTTTTTTTTTAAATTATAAGTGTGTTCGAATTTCAAATAGTATTTGACAGTATAAGTATTTATTATTGTCCAAGTTTGAAAGAGTTTCCCGCCTCTTTATACGATTCGATGAGTGCAATTATTTGGGAAGATTTGTCGAATAATTTTGTAAAGTTTTCACTTTTCAGCTTATTATATGGGGTTCATAGGTAGATTATTAGTATGTGAATTTATAGTGGCACGTAAGTATAATGCCAAAGAATTGGAATGGGGTAGAAAAGTTCTAGAATAATCACGTATACGACCTAATTAATTAAGGTCGCAGGGAGGCACTGGATCCGCGGAAGACTTAACGGGTTGCCGGGGCTCCGGCTCGAAGTGCAGGAGTAGGAACGGGGTGGTTTTTATACAGTAAGAGTCTAACACCCTCCCGCCTCACCCGAGCGGGAGCAGTCATTGGATGATTTTGCCCCCTCAAAAAAATAAAAAAATAAAAAGGTAGGCACTGGATGCAGGTAGCTTCCATTCAGCCGCTCTAGATGTCATTGGGGGAGGTTTATGTTCAGCAGTAGACGTCCTGTGGTTGATGTGATAATGATGAAGACACATTCATTGTGTTTCAGTTAAGTACGTAATCTTGTGTAGTTGAGTGAGAGCATTAAAGGTTTGTCGTCACTCCACCTAGCTGGAGGGCGCCCTACACTACGTTTGCCTAGACGCGGTCTCCACTCTAGAACACGTTTACCCAAACGGTTATCGGTTCTTCGACAAATGTGAGTGGTTGGATGAGAAGAGCTGAAGACCGAGCTCAGTGGCGTGCCATTATTTTTTTTTTAAGGGCGGAAATTCATCTAATGACTGCTCCCACCTGGGTGAGACAGAAGGGAGTGTCAGACTTTTACTGACTAAAATCCACCCCGTTCCTTCTCCTGCACGTCGAGCCGGAGCCCCGGTTACCCGTTAGGTTCTCCGCGACAGTGGCGTGCCATAGGAGAGGCCTTTGTCCAGCAGTGGACGAATACAGGCTGATGATGATGATGATGATTAAAGGTTTCATACGAACTTCTTTGATGGTTTTAATGGGAGATCAAAAATGTATTAAATTCTGCTACATAGGTAAGAGGTTTTGCCGTAATCTCCGCGGTTGACAAAAGGTGCAGGTTTATCAGAGAGCGCTGTTATTCGGTCTCTTAATTGATTATGAAATTGATTATGATGATGCCTGCAAGAAGAGTAGGGGCGGTAAATTGGTAATAAATTATTTGTAGTTAGTTTTCTAACACACAAAGTCAAAGTCAAAGTCAAAATCATTTATTTCAATTAGACCAGTAAGGCACTTTTGAACGTCAAAACAAAATATTTAAATATTAAATAATAAGAAAAAATGTCAGTCTGTAGGTCAGTCCTCTAGTGAAGCTATTTTTTACACAATATACTACACTTAGACTATAGGTCCTATATAGTGTTTTTCTTATGGCATGAGCCAGTAAACGCAGTAAACGCCGGAGGTTTAAGACGCCCACTTCTCATGCATGAGGGTGCGGGTTCGAAACCTACCAACGGCAAGTACCAATGTGACTTTTTCCGAGTTATATGTACTTTCTAAGATTATTTAGACACCACTGACAAACGGTGAAGGAAAAACATCGTGAGGAAACCTGAACTTATAATTTCTAATTAAGTATAAGTTTGAAATCACCAACCCGCATTGAGCAAGCGTGGTGATTAATGCTTCGGCGTCGCCCATAGACCCCCGGAACATTAGAGGCATTACAAGTGCGTAATTGGCCTTTGTGGAATTCGGGGATTGAGGAGACTGGGCAGGGGATAATTGGGACTCCGATAACCTCACTCACACGACGAAACAACGCAAGCGTTGTTTCACGTCGGTTTTCTGTGAGGCCGTGGTATCACTCCGGTTGAGCCGGTCCATTCGTGGCGAAGCATGGCTCTCCCATACACTAAACTTGTTTTAAAGTAGGTAATTGTCAAAAATAGGGTTAGTTACTAACTCTACTGAAGTAACGTAAATACGCGTAATCTTACTCATTCGTAACTATGCATTTTATTCTATTCTATTTCGTAGCTTAATTAACCTATTCATAACATAACATCACGCCTTTCGTTTCCGGAGGAGTAGGCAGAGGTGTACATTACGATATTTAATACCACTATACAATGTAACACTCACTTTTCACTATTTATGTTATGAGTCCCATGTAATAGGGGGTGATTCTATTGCCATATATCTGACAGAATTCCAGACTCCGTGCTATTACTGAGATTTTTTTTTAAACCCAGGCATATTTTACCCTACCCGGGAATCGAACCCGAGACCCCTTGCCCGGCAGTCACACTTGAGACCACTCGGCCAACAAGACAGTCTACGAAACTTCTTCATAATTTTTGTCAAAACACTTTAAGGGCTGTTATGTTACAAATCTCCTTTACAATCTCCAAACTTGGCAATCAGGTTAGAGATAGCAGTTGAATACGTTCACCTTTATCAGACAGTGCTGTATGACATCCGCGGACAGACTGCATCTGCAGTCTGTCACAAAATGTATTTTATTCACATCACCCTAGGGTTGAGAACCCAACGGCCCAACGGGTCGCGGAGAACCTAACGGGTAACCGGGGCTCCGGCTCGACGTGCAGGAGTAGGAACGGGGTGGTTTTTAGTCAGTAAGAGTCTGACACTCCCTCCCGGCTCACCCAGGCGGGAGCAGTCATTCGATGAGATTCCCCCCTTAAAAAAATACTACCTAGGTATAGCCATCTAAGTAACATCATATTCTATAGTCAGTCCAAAATACCTCAGAAGATCCCCAAATTAACACCTATTCGAATATCAAAACCAAAAAGCAAGTCTACTTTTGTATGGTACCTACTCATTAGGTAATAATACCGCATAATTGCCTACACACAGAGAAATTAAATTAAAACCACATTAGGTACCTTCAATTGTCCTAAACTGTAGTTAAAATTGACAAGTTAACCTAATCACAGGTTCTAAAACATGTCCTGTACATTTAAGTTAAAGTCTTTGATATCCAATAAATCGAAATACATCACAATCTTTGCTAAAGGGATCGTGAAAATCAATAGTCGATGTGTTCTACCACGCTCGTCGACTGCAAAACCACGTAAGGTAACCTAACATCGTCTCTACCAGTTAATTGTTACAGAAAAATATGCTTTAACTAAAGAGAATAAGGTTAAAGTTGTACTTGAGGCTGTGTGCGACTTGTTACCTTTCGATATAGCATGCAAAAGAACAGATAATCGACGCCTAGCCTTGTGCGATATCGATTTTGACAACGGCTACTTTCTCTGAAACGCAATGCGAGCTATATGCCTATCCCGCTCTCTCTTACCAGTGAAACTTGTTGAATAGAAAAGGATGGGAGTATAAAATCGCGACGCTGCAGCTTGGGGTCGCCGTCGCGGCGTTGCCATGACGACAGGTCACAGGGAGGGTATGATTTCCAATATAATAGTTCGATATTTTTAGGTCAAAAATGTCTGAGCTTGTTATAAAAGTATTTATGAATGAAAATAAGCTCGAAATATGCATGGAAGACAGCAATTTGACAATGGTTGTGGATAAAAACGATTTTATTATTGATTCGGTAAGATTTTTATTGGATTATTGCCGTAAACAAGATGGCGGATGGACATTGTTATAAATTATTGATTTTCTACGTAATATCGATAATATTGTAGATTAGTTTAGCTGTAGTGGGATGTTAGTACTTGTATCGTATTTTTCCATCATTCTATTGATTCGTAGTTCTAGATTATTTTTATAAAATCAATACTGGTTAGATAGTACCTACAATAATTTAACAGTAGATACATATTCTATCTTCGTATTAAAATAGACAATGTAATAATCATTTCAACGAAGAATATAACATCACGCCTGTTATTCGAAGCGGTAGACAGGGTTGTACGCTATAGTAGGTACACTAATTTATAATTAACACTATTTCAATACAATTGTGCAACCAAACATGTCATCTGAATGCAATCAATGACGTCATAATAAACAGTTATTCTTGCCACAGTCAAATCGAGGCATTTTCTTTTATAGAGATAGGTACTAACTGTTCCCCGCGAATTCGTAGGTACGCGTATAATTACTTCTGCATTTGGATTTTTTAATTAGTTTTTTCTAATATTAATAGGCATGATGACCGGGTATGAATATTAAAAATCTATTTAGTCCGTCAGTAATGACAAAATATTAGACACGTATTTTTTTATTTTGTCGTATAAGAAAACTATACCTACTTATATAAAACGAATGAAAATTTAGGAGTGGGAGGTAGCTATGTAAGTACGTCATTTTAGAGTAGGTATAAATCGTACTTACTCAATAGTGACGTTATGAGTTTTTTTCCAAATTATTATATCTTCGAAACTATTCGTTTCCGTAAGAAAATAAGAGAAAAGAAATTAAGTAGAGATAGGTAAATCCGCAAATATTCTTTTAAAAATACGTCTCTAATAGTCGGTAAGTAGGTGAAGGTTTTTGTTCGTAATATTTAAACAGGTTATTTACTTATACAGTTACAGGCATAGACAAGTTAACCAGCTGTTCTGTCCCACGGAAATTATAATATATCTGAGGTACATATATGTTACGTCTTATTAGTTAGTAACATAAAATGATACTCGTTGTAACAGCCGGAAAATATCATTTTATTAACATATTATGTCCACATTGATCATCAGTCAATAAGTGCTCACAGTTGAGCAAAAGTCTCTTCTCACACACAGAAGATTTGAGGTTTAATCACCTCGCCCGCTTGCTCAAGGCGGATTGATTCTTATGTTCAGTTGTTTAACTATACCCGAT